GTGAGCTATTGTGATACTTTCTAAGAAGTCATGTCACTGAACTAAAGATGTGTTTGTGTGTCTGTGCTGTGAACATAAAGTGCTGTCGTCACTCTGCAGGGTCCGGTTGTGTCTGTCCATCCACATCCGACAAATATTTAGGTTCTTGCTGGATGGAAGCAGATCTACGTCAGACTTAGATGGTTTTAATTATTGCACTAATTAATCGGGCTGGACTCGAACATCCGAACACCCGGTCGTTGTGGTGGTATCTGGATATCAGTTCTGAGATCAGAACATGCCGGTATGGATAAAAATGCAACCGGATGAAAAGCCTGAAAGACGACCTTAAAATGTGCCTGCTGGAAGATGTTCTCTGCGTAGAACATGATGGCATTGACTCCCGTCATCTGCTGGAAGATCATGAGCATGACGCCGATGAGCAGCGGCTTGTAGACGCCGGGATCCATCAGGTCGGACACCTGGAAACGGGAACCCTGACAGGAAGCAGAGAGCAGAGGGTTTAAGCGGACCAGGCCGTTCCCTCAGAGGTGCAGGACTCGCCCGTCGCTCGGCTCTCACCTGCTCGTCGCAGGCGTCCTCGATGCGAGCGCACTCCCACTCCACGGGCGCGTCCGGGCCTCGCAGGAACCGCAGCGCCTCCTCGGCCTCCCGCCTCTTCCCCTGAGACAGCAGGAACCGGGGCGTCTCCGGCATGAAGCACATGCACAGGATGAGCAGCGTGGGAGGGATGGAGCTGCAGATGGCCAGCCAGCGCCAGTCCACGAACAAACCTGCAGGACGACAACACAGCCGGTTCTGATCCGGGCTCAGTCGGACGCAGCGAAGCCGGTCGAGATGCAGCCCAGAACTTTTAAAACAGGTTCAGTGGCATCAGAGCTGATGACGGGGAGAAGAAAAGTAGCCGTACAAATCATCTGCTCCACCTTCTCTGACGTCGTTTTCATCAGAACCTTTGGATGTTTAAATGATATCTGGGAAACGTTTGCTTAGAATCTCAAAGAGTTTCAGAGAAAACGTTCTATTAATGTTGCTCGTCGACTCACTTTCAGCAGGTTTCAGTCATTCAGAAGAAATCTGTGAGTAATTGTGGATAATTTTTTAATGAATTTAGTAAAATTGTGAGTAATTCTGGTCAGTTGTTTTTATTCTGATGAATGCTCAGAAACACACATTTCACATTTTTGTACATTGAAGTCATTCTAGACGGAGTTTTCAGGCGTTCTGCACAATGTTTGGAGTCATATCAGAAAATTTGTGAGTCATTTTAGACATTTTAGGGCATTAAGGACCATTTCAGAATGATCTGGGACCGCTTTGGTCCTGCTGGTCATGGTTTTGTTGCTTTTTGTCACGTAGGACGAATCTTGAGTCACATCTGGAGTCACTGTGGACGACGATTGTTTGAAGGAATTCAGGTGTTTTTAGTGGTTTGTACACTAAAGTCATTCCAGATAGAGTTTGTACAATTTAGGAAAACTTTAAATACGAGGCTGTCTGAAACAGAGACGCAGCAGAAACATCTGATCTCGTCACATGATGCCTGATTCCCTCCACGTAGCTCTAAAGCAGGTCAGCAGCCTCACGACCAAGCAGTCAGAAAACTCTCTGAATGATTCACAGCTCGTAAAGCGCCGACCCGTCAGGTGACTTCCACCAAGCGGGAGCCACTAAATGTGGGTTTTAGGACGTCGTAAAGCCGGCGCTCACCTGCCAGGTAGACCAGCATGATGCCCAGCACCACCATGAGCTGCACACAGGATCCCAGGAGGCCTCGCACTCGCTCGTGGGCCATTTCTGAAATGTAGAGCTGCAGAAAAGACCGAGTTAGACCAACAGTAATAGTTCAATTCTGCAACTGATGCTGGTTGGAAATGGAGATAAATGCAAGTCGCTGCCATCCAAAATGATAACAACTACAATTCTAATGCTTCATGAATTACTTTCATCGTTATCGGACTCAGTTCAGTTACCTCAAAAATATAGCTTTAAAGTCAAACCACATTATTCTAGCCGCACACATCTAACAATTAATTAAAGTAATTATTATTATTATTATCAAAGTTAAAAGAGGGCTTCCAGTAACAACTGCAGTCATTTTCCACCAATCTGTTGATTATCTGATTCATATCTGGAGAGGTATTGATTTTCCAGATTTGGTTTTGTTTCGTCCAAACATATTCTGTTTTTTTTGTCCCATAGCAGCAAAGAAAATACTCATATTTAAGAAGCTGCGACCAGAGAATTTAGAGTTTTTGGTTCTAAAAAAAAAAGATTTAAACCAACTAACTGATGAAAACGAACAGTTGCAGCTTTACTTGAAAACAGTGAAAACTTCGAATCTTCCTCTAAAGGAAACACCACCAGCCAGCGAGCAGCCTGTGAGCTCCACAGCGGTCAGGCGGGGGTGTTTTTGGACGTTTGGTTCGTGTGTCTGGACGCCGACGGACGCTCGTTACCGGGACGACGAGCGACGTGACCCCGCTGGCGACGCCGGTGAGGACCCGGCCGACGTAGAGCATCCACACGTTCTGCGCCGCGACGATGATGGCGAAGCCGAAGACGAAGGGCAGCGAGCAGAACATGAGGCTGAGCTTCCTGCCGACCTTCTCCACCATCCAGCCGCCCAGCAGGCCGCCGAGCGCCGCGCCCACCGTCACCACGGACTGAAGACACAACAACAGTTAATCAGGTTTGACACCGAATTCCACCAGTTTCACGGCTTCAGTTCGTCCAGACGTGACGACTACATGGACCAATGGTCGCCATCTGCACAAAGACGGTTCATCTCTGTGTTTATTCTGAGTGGGTTTATTGGTTTGTCTTTTTAAACTGAATTTATGTTATTTGATTATTTGTCTTTTTTTTTTTTTTTTTAAAGATAGAAAATTGGGAAAAATTGTGCCACTTCATCTGTAAAATTAAAAAAAAAGAAAAAGTAAAATATTACTGAACAATTAAAAACTTATTCACCACTTTCAGGATCAAACGCTAAATTAAAATAAATTTAAAATACTAAAATACTGGGACCGACCGACTATTAGTGGGTTTATTGTTTTATTAACGTGTTCAATAAATCCAGAAGTAAAATAAAATAAATGTAAAACAAACACACATCAGAAAATAAAATAATAAATAATAAACCCATTAAACTACAAATGTTTAAACAGAAAATAGTATTCTGAGTGGAATAAAAGTTTGAAGCCATAACTTGTCAGTTAGAAAGTAATACATGGTGGGAAAACAGCTTAAATACCGTGAGTATTTAGACAGGAAGTAGAATTAATATGGAAATAAACCTGTAAAACCACAACTTGTTTGTCAGGAAGTCCTGTTTTAATACGTTAAACCTTCACAACAACATGTCCTCGGACAAAAAGCAGTGTTTTAGGTGATTTAAACTGTTCAAACGATAAAAATTTAGACTGAAAGAAGCTTTTTGGGTCGAATGAAGCTCTAAAATAATAAGTTGTTCACTAGAAAGCATCGTTTGGGTGAAATGAAGTTTTCATGCTGAGAGGACTCGGACAGAAAGTAGGATTTATGGTAGAATGCACTTTATAAAAATATCCATAACGCATTAAAACAGCTGAAAAAAGTGATGAATTTGCATCAGAGAGTACGTTTATAGTTCTTTCATCTTTTGATTTGCGGTTGCGTGTGACCTTTAAAGACACAGCGACGGTTATTTAAACGTTGTTTAAACGTGTCACATGAGAAATCCTTCATCCTGGTTTGAATTTGACTTGCAGTGATGATGAGCCTCCGTCGGTTTGTTTCACTGAACTTTCTGCACGTACTCGTTATTTCTCATAAACAGAAACATGGTTGTGTAAAGAAAGCCTCAGTTCACTGGTTAGAAAACTGATGTTTGTTCTTGATGACATCATCAGGTTTTGACCTCACGTGACCCCGGCAGGACGACATGTGACGAAGCAGAACAACAACAAGAGCGTCTCACCCCGAACCAGGAGGCCTGGACGGCGTCCAGCCGGAGCCGAGGGTCGGCGCTGTTGGACAGCTCGGGGATGGCCGGGGAGCTGTAGCCCAGCACGAAGCCGAAGCTCATCGGGCCCAGAACCGACACGAACGTGGCCAAGTAGAGCCTCCCGTTCCTCACTTTGCTGCAGAGTCAGAGAGAAACGAGGAAGTTCAGCTGCAGCACGTTTAGCAGTGAGAGAGTTACACGAATAAACCAGTGACAGAATCAGAAAACAAAGGTGGAAATAAATGAAATAAATTATGTGGCAATATTACACAATGTTAGTAAAAAATGAATCCATGAAAGAAAAAGCTAATAAAAGTAGAAATCTAACGACAAATAAATAAAATAATAAAAATAACAATTCATTATTTTAAACTGTTAAAAAATAATTTTAGTTTATTATTTTATTGATTTAATTAGGTAATGTATTACTGTTTTGAATCAGTTTTTATTTTCTATTTATTTTAATCATTTTTTTCATTTTTATTTTATTTTTTAATTTGTTTTTATAACGTCGCTTTGTGCAGTCATGTGTGCTGCACACACACTTCTGTGCATATTATCATAAAAAGTATTTTTTACAAATAAAAAATAAATATATAAAAGAAAATAATAATAAATAAATAATAAAAAATATAAAAATAAATAATAAAAAAATAATGTGATAAATACATTTCGAAAAATAAAATACATAAAAACAATCAAAAAATACATACAAACAAATATTGCCCCATTATTTATTTTTTATTTTATATATTCTTCTTTTTATTTCCACTTTTATTTCATTATTCCTTTATTGATGTATGTGTGTAAATTAGCGCTCTCACTTCTCTGTAGTTTAAACAACAATAGTTGACATTCAGAGGAACAATGGACCGGCCGGCTCGTCTGTCGGAACTAAAACTGCAGGATTTCTAACATCAAACACTTTCTGTGTCATTCTTTAAGTCCTGCAGCTCAACACAGAAACAGAAGAAGCATAAAAAAGCATCTAAAAAGGAATTTATTTGATTATTTACTGAGAATCTGAGCGTTGTTGTTGTTTGTTTTGTTCTTCAGGTATCCTCTGGTGACACCACTGAGCAGAGAGATGCTGGATGTTGATCATGAGTCCATCTCAGACTAAACAATCTGAACTCAGCAGCCTGGACTCTGGGAGCTCCTGACTCATGTTTTTCTACTATTATCTGGTGCTTTATTGGCTGAGCAGGTATTTGACCTCCTGATAGAACCGTCCAGACTGATGACTGAAGATCGTTGGTTTGTTTTAAACAGTAAACTGATGGTGGATGTTTAAGTTGGTGTCTGACACGTCGACTGCTGTCCAGGACGAAACGTTTTATTAAAATCCACCGTCGACCGCAAAACTATCTCGTTGTAATTGTGTAATGATCAAATGTTAACGTACTGTTAATAGAATAACATAAATACAACAATAAGAGCTGTTGCTGCATTCGTTTAGGTTATTTAGAGTCACGTAGACAGCATTTAGACGCGTCTCAACGTTTTTGCATTTGAACCGCATGTCTTTGTCTTTAACACTTCATACATCCACTAAAATAAAATAAAAAAGTAGGTAAACACAGTCATAACACATTTATAGCGACATGTTTCATAAAATGTGGATGTTTCTTGCAGGTCATCGTGACAGTAGCGTATGTTCCCTCCTCTGCTAACGCAGCCCGTGATGTCCTCCACTCGGCTGCAAACAGCATCCACAAGCCCTCCTCTTAAATGCTGGAGAGTCAACCATGAATCTCCTTCCTCCATACTACCAACATTCAGTCAATATGTCACCTGCCACACCAGAGGAAGCAGAACTCTGGACTTGTTTTATGCCAACATTCAGGAGGCATACACGTCCTCAGCCCTGCCACCCCTGGGAAAACCATGACCTGGTGCATCTTCTCCCCGTGGACAAGCCTCTTGTACACAGACAGCCAGCGTCCACCCACACCAAGAAGATCTGGTCTGAGGAGTCGGTGGAGACACTGACAGACTGCTTCGACACCACGGTGTGGAGAACATCGACAGTCTGACCAGCTGCATCACAGACGACATTCACTTCTGTGTTGACTCCAACACACCCACCGAGACAAAACCACAAACCATGGATCACTCCGGACATTAAAACCCTCCTCAAGGAAAAGAGGAGGGTTTTTCAGCTGGGGGACAGGGAGCAGATGAAAGCTGTGCAGAATGGGGCTACATAGAAAAAGATACACATATATATATATATATCTTTTTCTATGTACCCCCATTCTGAAGCCCATCCTCATATTCTGTTTGCACTATTTCTTATATTTGTCTGTCTAGTATGTGTGTCTATCTCTGTGTGTGTAAAGCTGCTAACAACAATGTGAATTTCTCCACTGTGACATAAATCAAGGCTTATCTGATCTTATGTGATTTTATATTTGTGGAATTTGAACTCGATGCTTTACGGCATGAACGTCGACCCACTTTCAGCAGGTTTTTGTTTTCTCACATTGGAATCTGAGTGGGTCTGAACATCTGAGGAACGTTTAAAGATCAAAACCTGAAACGTTCTCTGTTGTTTGTCATCATGTGGCTGATTCAGGATCTCTGATATCAGACATGAACATCAAATAATGTCTGAATATGGGGGAGTTGAAATATGAAACAACAATGAAGCCGTCGTGAAACAACTGATTATGATACCTCATATTTCTGTTTAGAGCAGTGGTTCTCAAACCTGGGGTCGGGACCCCCATGGGGGTCCCAAGATAATTTCAGGGGGTCGCCAGATCATTGTACTAATAAATAAAAATAAACAAAGCTTACATTTATCAGATAAATGTGTATTTGGGCTGTCAAAGTTAAAAGCGATTACTTCTTCTCACTCCTTTTCGGACTTGTTCACATCATGATCGGATTATATTATTATTCTCTTTTTTTTGCTCTTTTTGAAATGATTTTCTTCTGTTTTCGTTTTTTTTCAGTTTCATTTGTTTGAGATAAATTAAATTAATCCAAAAGAAAATTAATGTGAAGAGACTACTCGGTGGGATCAACACATTAACAGCGTTACTGATGAGATGTCAGGTTGGGGGGTTGTGGCTCAAACACTTTGAGAACTGCTGATCTGGAAGAACTCCAGAGCTTCTGGTTAGTGCTCGATGTTTAGTTTTATATGATCGTGACCTTTGATTTGAGAAACATCACCAGTCTGCTTGATCAGGCGGTTTTACACATTTTCATGACTCAACACAAATCAGAGATCCTGAATCAGCGCCATGATGACAAACAGCAGAGAACGTTTCAGGTTTTAATCTTTAAACGTTCCTCAGATGTTCAGACACACTCAGATTTAAACTCATAAGTGGGTCGACGTTCATGCATCGAGTTCCACAAATATCTTCAGAAACATCTGGATTTTATGCACCAGAACCTTCAGAGGCGGTGGAGCAGAACTGCTGAGCTGGAGCCTCATCGGCCCGTTTCCTGGTTCTGTCCTCTTGGCCCTCAGAACCGACGGGTCGAGGCCGAACGCCTGAGCCTGGTTCTGCTTAAACCAGAACGTCTAAACCCAGTGATGCTGTGAACGCTGTGGAGCTTCAACCGTGAACTGAACACGTTTTAAATCCACCGATTTATAAAAACATTTATATTAACAAATATCTGTAATTTGATATTTTCACCACTGATTTATTTCAGACTTGCTTCGACACTAAAAAGGCAAAACAAACCCTTCAAATAATGTCCGTTTAGCTAATTAACGTCTACCTCTCATGTTCTTCTACTTCCTGTTTCCTTACATCCGTCACTGTTTCACGTTATCACACATTTCTGTACGTTTTTGTAAATTCTTTCATAGTCGTGGTCGTTTTGACATCGTTTCATCCCACAAACTGACAAATATCTAAATTAAACTTTCATTAAATTTCCTCTTAATTCATGGTTTCCAGCGTTGCTTGTGAACAGCTGTTGTTTGTTATAAGGAAAAAACAAAAATAAAAAAATAAAAATAAAATGACATTTTTTAAAATGAAAATGAAATACAAACAACGAAAAATAATACAGAAATAATAAATAAGAAAAAAGGTGAAAAATAAACAAATTTGAAAAAACAAAAAAGAAATTAAAATAAAAAGAAATTAATTAATTAAATACAACAATAAATAAAATATTTTTTTTTTAAATCGTATTTTTATTATTTTATCTATTTGTCTTTATATTTCTACTTTATTAGCCTTTTCATTTGTGTATTCATTTTTGATTCATATTTCTCTATATCACCATATTATTTATTTTTTAAAAATTGTATTAATTTTTCTTTTTATTTCCACTTTTATTTCATTCTTCTTCTACTCTCACTGCTCCATAGTTATAAGTTATAGTTAGAACTTGTTATTCGGGTTTAAACTTGATTTGCACGGTCCTGAAATTCACTAAATCAATAAATTCCGACGCATTTGCTCTTCAGAATAAAACACCAGGTTCTCTTTAGAGCCCACCTTGTCCGACCAGGTTCTGCTGTGGTTCTTGTCCTGGATGTGACCTGAATGTGTTTTACAGCAGCTCAGTAGAACCAGCGAGCAGCTCAATGTTTAGGAGGCCAATAAAGCACATGTGTGGACTACTGTAGTACTACTGTAGTACTACTGTAGTACTACTGTAGTACTACTGAGTACTGCTGCAGTACCTCTGCGCTGTATTCGAGTATTCGAGTATTCTCTGACCTCATATAGGCCTCCTGCTCCGACATGAGTCCGGTCGGGTTCGGTTCTCCCTCCGCGTCCAGCAGCCTCCTCCTCTCGTCCTGGATGTCCATTCTGCAGCAGGTAGCTTCTTCAGGCTTCTCCGGGGTTCTGATCTCGCATGGATCTCGGGTCGCGCCGGAACAAGCTGTCACAACAAAAGCTTGACGAACCGAGCGGCTTCACCGGAGACCGAACCAGAACTCTACAGAACCAGAAGCATCTCCGGAGCTCCGGGCTTCTGTCTCCGACCGCCGGCGAGAACAGACAAGTCGCTTTGTCAACATGCGAGTCAGCTGATCGGCGTGTGTGCCTGACATTTCCTGGTCTGTCCGGTTTTTCAAAATAAAAGTCTGCAAGTGAGCCAAAGTTCGCCAATGAAGAGTTTCAGTTTTTCACTGACTTATTTATTTATTTGTCAATTTTCTAGCCAAAAACAGAACAACAACAGAACTACATGCATGTTTGTAGTTTTTTTTTGTGGGTGGAATTAACCCATAAAAGTATAAAAATGTGGACAGGAAGTCGTACTTTGAGTAGAATAAACCCATTAAACTACAAATACTGAGACAGAAAACAGTATTTTGAGTGGAATACACCTTTTAAACTATAAAAACTTACATGGAAAATAGTATTTTGAGTGGAATAAAAGTTTGAAACCACATTTTGTAATATTTGGGTGAAAAAACAAAAGCTTTAGTACCATTAGTACTTTGACCTAAAGCAGCATTTAGATGAAACAAACCTGTAAAACCATCACTTGCTTATTAGAAAGTCCTTAAACCTTCACAACAAACAAACAAGCAGCATTTTAGGTGATAAAAACGGTTTAACCTACAATAACCCGGACCAAAAGCAGCATTTTGGGTCGAATGAAGCTCTGAAATAATAAGATGTTCACAAGAAAGCACCACTTGGGTGAAATAAAGCCTTCATACTGAGAATACTTGGGCAGAAAGTAATATTTTGGGTTAAATAAACCTATAAAATTGGGTGTACTTTGACAGAAAACAGTATATTGGGTGGAATAAACATCTAAAACCAGAACATGGATGAAATAAATCTTTGAAACTATGTGTACTTGGACAGAAAGTCATATTTGTGGTTGAATAAATCTTTAAAACTGTGAATAGTTGCAGAAAAAGTTGTGTTTTAGGTCTAATTGACATTTGAAATATTAACTCGTTTATAATTAAGCACATTTTGGGTGGAATAAGCCTTCAATACCGGAAAAACTTTGACATAAAGTAGGATTTTGGTTGAGATAAATCTCCGGGTCCTCCGGGTCGGTAGGGGGCGCTGTGGCGGCAGCCTGCTGAACTGTACACACATTGTTGAATTAAGTGATTTAAACGTCAGAACTCTTTCAAACAGCAGATGTGCCGGTTTGGCACCGCAACATCTGGCCTTGGGAGACAGTTTAGGACTCACCTCTGTCACAGAGAGCTAGCTAGCTGGCTAACTTAGCTAGCTAGCTGTTAGCAAAGAGTTACGAATGTTCACTAATTCAGCAAAGCTCGTCGTCGATTACATCTTTTTATTTTTTTAAGTTAAGCTACACACTGGTAGCATCTGTAGACGTTAAATATTACAGTTTAAAGTTGTTGTTTTTTTATTTTTTCGGGCGAAGTGGAAACGGTTCCGGAAGTGAAAACAGATGAGCATCCTGTTGGGAGTAAATCATCTTTGTTAAGAAAATAAAAGCCTCTCGTTGCGTTCAGGTTGGTTTCCATGGTGACAGTCAGATTTTTAACGCCAGCAGAAAGAGCAGAAAAGTGAAAATAACTCAATCAAAAGTTCTTAAGAGTTTGTAAAACAGCTATTTCAGCGACTCAATGGACACTTCTGAGGACAAGAGTGACGACAAGGTGAGTAGATTATTAAAGAATAGAAGAAAATGTAGCTAGCTAGAAGTTAAAGCTGTGTGTTAGCAAGAAAAGTTAAACAAACCTGCGCTAAATTAAACTACAGAGTTAAAATTGAAAAGATTTTTAATGATAGAAAGAGAATGTGAGAACCTCTAGTTCAAAGTGGATTGTCTTTGATAAGAAAATAAAAGCTAAAACTTAATTTCCAAGGCGACACTCAGATTTAGCCAGTAACCTTAAAAATGCTTCAAATGTGAAAATAAATAGGAAAAATGTCATTAAAACAACATCAAGCAGCTATTACAGCGACAGAATGGACATTTCTGAGGAGGCAAATGACAAAAAGGTTCATAAGAGATTAGAAAACAGAAGGAAAATGTAGCTAGCTATAAGTCAAAGCTATTTGGTGACAGGCTAAACTAAATAAACAGGTTAAATAATGCTACAAAGGTCAACGTGAAGGAATTTAAAAGGTTTTAATGATAGAAATAAGGTTTTAGCTGGAAGTTTACATCAGAATGACTACACCTGTGTGAAATATTAACTGGAAAATAATTAAAAATTGTATCATCTCACAGTATTTGAATGACTTTAAAGCTAAATAGTATTTTTTTGTGTGTATAAAAGCTTCACAGTAGGAAATCAGTCGACTGAATCCTCCTCAGAAAGGACAACAACAAATTGGTGCACAGACGTTCTGACGTTTTTCATTGATAATTTTTATTTCTTACCAGCTTGTCTTAACTGCAGAGGTTGTGTCGCTCTGCCTTTGTCTTTAAAATGTGTTTTCAATTACTACACAGTAAATATTAAACCGAAGCTGATTATATCATCAATCAAATCACATTTGTATTAATGTGTTGTCACCAAATCATTCAGACGTAGTAGAAGCTGGAATAAAAAATCCACCATGTTTTCAATAAGTACCGTGTTCGTTTCATAGAGTCCAGATAAAACAGTTTGTTCTCTCTTGAAGAGCGTTTTGGTTTTTACACGTGAAATCTTTGTCCATCGGCAGACAGCAGAGCAGAGTTTGTTCTCCACCGTCGTATCAGATGAGGAGCTGGAAGAAGCCAGAAGAAAAAGCGCCTTCAAGCAGCTCTTCGGCTCCAGAAGAATCTTTCTGCCGCCTGCAGAGAAACGGCAGCAACGACCAGAACTTCAGAGGAACGTCATCGTCCAGAGCAAGGCTGCAGAACAGTGAGAGTCACGAATGAACGATTAGCCTCACCGTCAGCAAACAGACAAACACGAGTGGGTTTTATTTTAACCCTGTTCAGGACCTTCATGTTGCCGTACGTAGAAGGTCCTTCAGGATCCACAAGAAAGAATAAAATATCTGTTGGTCTTCATGATAGGCTTTTATATGATGTTAAATACATTTTCTCTCTTTTTACGTTTAAAAACAACACCTGTCACCTAAACCAGAAGTCCTGAATCAGGTTCACATGTGTTGGAGTTCATCTTGGATCTAGATCAGCTTTACTGACTTGATTCTGTTGGTTTCAGGAAATGAAACTGAAGGTATTTTCATGTCTAATCAGGCAAAATCCTTCTGCTTCCCTTTGAAATGAACCATTTTGTTGTGGTTTTACAGATTGCGTGTTCAGCTTTTAAAAAACAGTCACATCGAGGTAGAAGAAACACAGAAACAGCAACGTGCTGCTTTTGTTGTTTCTAATCAAAAGGCCACGTGGAGGACTGAAGGTGCAAAACGAACACAGAAAAAAGTATAGAAATAGAAAAGATAGAATCTAGCTATGAACAGGATAGAGACAACAAACATCGAACTCTGACTATAAATAATAAACAATAAATAGACAATAAATTGATGAAATATAGAATCAAAATGTCAAATAATCCTTCTTAATTTAGCTCTAACCTCGTTACACGTTCTTATTCTGTAATCAGGAAGATCTCACGTTCTTATTTCAGCTGTTTGTGTTCTGGTCAAAGCAGAAGTGAAGCATCTCTTGTTGAAAACCTGCACCGACCTCCTGACGTTTGTCGTTTGCAGCTACAGAAGCGGAACCGAGGCGATGGGAAGGCGTCAGTATGAGAAGGCCGCGGTCTGCTTCACCAAAGCGCTCAATCTGCAGCCGGAGCAGGTGCTGAACGGAGCAGAACCATCAGAACCGGCTGCTGCTTCATGTGGTTAACAATGAGCTTCACAGAAACACGGTGGTCTTGTTTCTTCACCACCTGTGGTTCTGAAGCCGGTTCTGATCCTGAAGACGTGACATGAAGCTGACGTCTGTTTCTTGACTTAACGTCCACGTTTGTTGCGTTTGCTCCAGACCCAGCTGTACGTGAGCCGGGCCGAGGCCTACCTGCAGCTCTGTGACTTCCAGTCAGCAGCAGCTTCCTACAAACGGGCCTGGATCCTGCAGCCCGGAGCTTTCAGCCGCCGCCTGGCCTTCATCTACTACCTGCAGGTACGAAGCTCTGTTCGTCCGACTCAGAGGAGAAACACTCGAGCAGAGGAGCTTGTCGTGAAAATCTGTTTCTGTGATCCTGAAACAGTCGACAACACGTGGAAATGTTCTCATGAATCACTTCTGTCAGTCAGAACGAGACACACAGGAGGATATTTGAATTTTTAAATTCTTACATTTCTTTCTTTAGTCCAAGTGAATCAGGATGTTTTTGTGTTTATGATTTAAAAAACAAAATGTCGTTTTAATTTGTGGCTCTAAAAGTCAAACGGACACACGAGTCGATGTTCTTTATTGTTCATCTGGTTATTCGTAGAATTAAATCCACTAAATCTAATTCAATATATTTGTTTATTACATGAAGTAACTCATTTGCAAAAGATAAATAAATGTGATTTAAGTCAAAGAACAAAATGTGTAAATGAACATAATTGACTAAATAGAGTAAAAGAAAATAGTGTGTTGAAGTGGAGTAAATGTGATTTATTCAATTAAGTAGAAGAAAAAAAGGGGAAAAAGAAAAACATGTAAACAAAGAGTCAAACTGGTTTATTACATCAGGAACCAGAAATGATTGTGTGAAAGAAAAATATGTTTTATTTATTAAACTAAGGGGAAAAAAAGTGTTAAAGGAAAAAATATATAATTAATTAATTACTTAAAAAGTAAATTTAATTTGAAAGGAAAATAAATATGATTCATTCAGTTCAGTAAAATGAAATGTGATTTATTGTGACTGAAGCAAATCTAATTTCTGTTTTCAACAAAGATCTGATGTTTATTCAACATCATTTATCATCTTGTGGTTCGTCTTCATTCTGCTGCTGCACCGATTATCAGAAATAATCTGGTTAACGTCCACCTCGTGGTGAGTTTACTAAATGTTCTTGGGAGCATTAATGTGGGCTGCAGGTGGATCAGTGGTGAGCAAAGTTCACGTCATGGAGTCTCCATGTTCTCCCCGTGCAGCGTGGGTTCTCTCCGGGTTCTCCGGCTTCCTCCCACAGTCCAGAAACGTGCTGAGGTTAATTGGTGATTCTAAATTGTCCGTAGGTGTGAATGTGAGTGTGCTTGGTTGTCTGTCTCTAAGTGTAGCCCTGTGATAGACTGGTTACCTGTCCAGGTGAACCTGCCTTCACCCTGAGTCAGCTGGGATAGGCTCCGCCCCCCTGGTGAGGATTGAGTGGTGTATAGATGATGGATGGACGTTTATACTTCCGTCCAACACCTAGAACTCGTCACACAGATGTTTTTTTGCTGCTGGTTACACGTCAGCCTTCGTAAAAGTCTCAAACAGAAGACGTTTTATTGCTGGTCTTGTGTTTTCGTGTCTTCAGGGTCAGTGTTTGTTCGATGGAGGTCTGTTCCTCGAAGCCCTGGAGGCGTTTAGCAAAGCTGCTGAGGTGAAGCCCGACTGCAGAGTTTACCAAGTCAGAAGGTCAGAAACCTGCGAGTCATTAACTAACATCATCCTGCAAACGTGTCGTAGCTTCTGTGGCTGTTGGATACATGGATTTAAATGACAGCAGCTTTGACTCACACGAGGGCGAAACAAGTAGTCGAGAGCTTGAACGTGATCTGTACAGCTGAACGTGTCTCCTCCTTGAATCCCAGCCTGGCCTGTCTGACGGCTGCAGGTCGTCACTCCGACTGCCTGAAGCTGCTCGACGGCTGGATGACGTCAGGAAGTCCCACCGCTGAGCTTCACGTCCTCCGAGCCCGACTGCACAAACGGCTTCAGCAGGTGACACACAGTCTGCACACTAACACAGCGCTGGGATGAACCCGAATATGAAGATCCACAGTCCTGGGACCGGCTGGACTGGTGCTGATATCAGGACTGGAATCAATTTAAGTCTTTAACACAGTTTGAATCACTTTTAAATCAAAACATTTTCAAAGAAATCAACACCATGGAATAAAACGTATTCCTGAAATTATAGAAACACATAAAATGAAGTTATTTAGACACTAAAGATGATTCGGGATGGTTGTTCCATCTGAGATCATCCAGTTTTGGAACAGTTTCTGCTCCACTATCTCTGATTGGCCTGAAAGTTTCAAAGCATAAAATAAATAGATAGAAATACTTTATGAATCCCCAAGAGGAAATGTGGTTGTTACAGCACGAGATGCACACCGATAAATAAAGAAATATAGACATTGGTACATTTTTTCCTGTATTAAAAAATCTGTATTTTTCTCTGAGAACCGCTTTTTTATTTACAAAATAATTAATTTTTACGGTACAATTTGTCATACGTGTGTAATCAGTTGTGAAACTTTAATTACACTTTTTAAAAGTAAAATAAAAATTTTTACTTTTTCTTTTTTTAGTGTCTTACATTTATTTATTCTATTAGTTCTATTCTTTATTTTTGGGGGGTTTTTTGTTAAAGATTGGGGATTTTTTTGGTCGCTGTAGTTTTTTTCGGGGCACATTTCAATTATAATATAATCTGATTTTATTTGAGCTGTTTGTCAGATATCACAGATTCTGAATCGGTGACGTGATGAGAGATAACAGAGAACATTTCAGGTTTTTATCTTTAACACTTCCTCAGATGTTGATCTAAAACCTCAGAGTTCATGATCAAAACGTTTGCTGCCAACCAGAGGTGCAGACGGATGATACGAGATGTTTTTTATTGTTATTTTTAATATGCTCCGTCAGCTATCAGTGTTTTCTCCTCCGTCCAGACGTCTCGCTGCCATCAGGACGTGACGGCGGCGTTGGCGTTGGACCCTTCGTGTTTGGCGGCTCGAGTTCTGCTGCAGCAGCTGCGTGAAGCCAGCGAGGAGGCCCGACTGGAGGCCGTGGACAGAACCGTGAGCGGCCGGCTGCCCGAAGCCCTCTGCATGATCAACGTGGCTCTGGAGAGCAGCCCTCAGGACGCCCGACTCTACCTGTTCAGGTGAGCAGAGGAGCTGCACTGAGGCAGAAGTCCGATAAAAACCTGCAGGTTTCTGGACTGCAGGAGTCTGATGAGTAGTGCAGCTCACTGAGTCTGTCCTCAGTAATCCAGTTACCATCAGAACATGTGCTTCAGTCACAGCTTTCCACTTTATTTTAATTGAAGTAAATGTGATTCTGCTTTATTGGACCGTGTTACGATCCAGCCTCCTGGACATGGTTCAGGTGATGCAGCTTATTGCTCAGTAAAGGAACACAACAGAACGGTGACGATACAAACGAAGCTGGTGGATAAAAATCAAAAGAACCAAACGAAGGCTGACAGAGTGTCAGAAGCTAGCAAACTAAACTAAACTCTTTAGTCAACCTGAAACCAAACAGCAGCGTCCACACACGACAAAAGGAACTAAAGCAAACTGGTGCCTCTAAACACACAATACGAAGACACAGGACACGAGGAACTTCCTCACGAAGCTGCTAACAGGAGTCCGTCTGTACGAAAGTCCCCCACCGAGCTAGCAGCTGCCAACAGAAGTTAAAGCGCAAAAGATACAAACCGAGCGTCACCAGAACTGTTCACTCTGAATCCCATCCAGCCCCGACTGAGAGGCGGCTGGTTGGTTCTACAGCCAGGTGTGGTGACTGCTGGGGTGGAGGAGGAGTGGTGGTGGTCCAATCAGGTGTGACTGGAGGCGGGAAGAACCAGGCTGAGAGCAGGTCTGGAGCTCCAGGGCGATCATGGCTGGCGTGGTTCTGGAGCTCCGTCCTCAGCTGGACCTCCACAGCCCATCGGCCCACACAGTGATCACAAGTCCACAGATCCACAAAACCCAGGGTCCTGTAACAACTGCATATGAATCAAAAAGATGTTTAACCGACAGAAAGAAGTATAAAGGAAAAGACCTTGTAAAATAAATGAATACATAAATAGTAATAATAACAATTATAATGTACTTTCCTAATTTAAATATTAAGCTCAAGGCCCTGCGATGTTCTGAGACGTGAATTAAAATGTGTTGTGTTTCCTTCAGAGGGATTCTGTACCGACGTCTGAAGGACTTCACAGCCGCCATCGAGGACCTGGTTCAGGCTGCAGAGCTGAGCGACGAGGAGGAGGAGGATCAGGAGGAGGTCAGAGGTCAGGGGAAGGAGGCCGTTCGTCGGGAGGCGGAGCTCCAGCTGGTCCTCACCTACAACGACTTTGCCGTCCAGTGCTTCGGCCGAGGTCTTTACTCGGAGGCCGCTCTGCTGCTCAACAAGGCCATCGAGGAGGAGAAGAGCCGGCCGGGACTCTACCTGAACAGAGGAGGTGAGGATCTGTGGCCCACCTGGAGGTCCGTCAGAGTCTGGAGAAGCTTCAAAGGGCAGAAACAAACCTCAGAGTCTGGCTCTTATCTCTCCACCATAAATCCTCGTTAACGGCACCGAGAGTTTCCTCCTCCTCTGAAAGTCTCTCTGTAATATCAACACGTCCAGATGGTGTTTTTACGTCTTTATTTCTCCAAATATTTATTCATTTTTGCCTTTTTTATTCGTCTTCTCTTCATATTAGTGTTTTATTTAATCATTTTTTAAAAACCTTTTATCTTCTTTATGGTGCAGTTTCAGATTATTGATTCATTTGGTTACAAACAAAGAAAAAAAAGAAGGAATTCTGTCTCGCTTTTATGAATCCTGATCGATTTATGTCGGTTTTTCTTCAGTTCTTTCATTTCTAACTTTATTTCTATGGGGTTAGGTATGGAGTAATAATAAACTAAAAGTGGAAATAAAAAGAAGAATAAATAAAATAAAAAATAAATAATGAGGCAAAATGAAAAGAAAAGGCTAATAAAAGTAGAAATATAAAGACAAATAAAATAATAATAGTAATTTATTTGTTCATTTATTTATTTATTTATTGTTTTTTATTTATTTATTTATAGTTCATTTATTTATTTTTAAAATTATTTATTCATTTATTAATGTTATTATTATTGTTGTTTTTTGTTTATTTATAATTTATTTTTCATTTTTATTTCATTTTTAAATAAAAAAAAATGGCACTTTGAAAGGTAAAGGAAATATAAGCAAAAAAATGTGCGCATATTTCCATTAACATTATTAAAAATTTAAAAAATTACAAAAATTAAAATATAAAAAACATTATTATTTTATTTATTTGTCTTTATTCGTTTTTATTTATTTATTTATTTTTTAGCCTTTTCTTTTATGGATTCTATTTTGATTAATATTGCTTTATATCGCCACATTATTTATTTATTCTTCTTTTTAATTTCCACTTTTATTTTGTTATTCTTTTATTGATTTAGTTTTGTAATTTTGTCTGACTGATGGTTGATGATCCAAAGAAAGAAACGGCTAAACATCGTCTGAAGCAGCTCGTTTGGAAATTAAAACCAGAGTGAAGCTCTTCAGCTCCAATCATTGAATCAAACTCTGATCTGTGTCGTATTTATTCGTTTTCTTTCTTTGTGTGTCAGACTGTTTCTTCAAACAGGGCGACTGGTGCTTTGCTCTGGCCGACTACCAGCAGGCCGAGGAGATGCTGGCACCCGACGACCCGGCGGTCCGACTCCGACTCGCCGTCGTCCACAACACTCTGGGCCGCCTCTGTTTCCAGGACGGGTCAGAACCGCGACACTTTTATAGCAAAAAATACGGATTTTCATAAAGATGTTTTTCACATTTTAGCTTCGTAAATGAAACACTTTGTTGACCCACTTTCAGGAGGTTTTTTCTCACATTCAGAGTTGAGTCCGTTTCAGCAACAACACCTCAAGAAAGATTAAATATAAAAACCTGAAATGTTCACGTTTAGTTCTCATCGTGTCACTGATTCAGAATCTGTGAGATCAGACATGTAGATTAAATAATGTCTGGATGTGGGTGAGCTCAAATATGAACAAAATAAGTACAAAAAAATTAAGATAAAACTGCTTTTTGTGGAAAGTTTACAGTCGATGGAGCAGATTTGACAAGTTGCAGAAAATACTGGCAAATAGTCTGATGGTTCTCAGACAAAAAATGGTTTTAATGCAGCTAAAATCTCTCAAATATCTTTATTAATATTCAGATTTAATGCCATAAAAAAACAGACAAATCAGAGCGGGTTGTGCAGAAACTTTTTTTGGGGGGAAATTTACTGATTTAAGATAAAATAATATCATTTGAAAAGCAACTAACAAAGATTTTTTAAAATATAAAGTTGGACCAAAGAAGTGATTATTTTAATAAAAATACAAAATATGTTTTCATTCAACTTTTAGAACTGAAGCTATGATTTTTAAAAATTATTTTATGTATTTTTTCAATATTATTATTTAATCTCAAAGTGTTTCAGGTACAAGTGCGTCTCGTATAATTCAAATGAGGTGGAAAAAGTTCAATATTTTTCACCAGAAGTTGCACAAAGTGAGAACAACGTATATTCTGGACTCATCACACATGAACTTCAATCCTTTATTCGTTTTAACTTTGATGATAACGGCTTACAGCTCCCGAATCCCCCAAATCCATCTCAAATTATTAGAATATTTCAAATCTGAAAAGGAGGGGATTTCTGAAATATTCTAACATTTTAAACAGTGTCTGAGGCTAAATATTGAGCTTCTTCCACCATATTTCTAATTTTCTGAGATGCGTCTGTATCAAGCGAAGATTTCAGAAATGTCTTTATTCTTGTTCATATTTTTTGCAATAAAACATTCAGGCAATCAGAGATGTTTAAGTTGATTTTTCTAAATATTAAATGTAGTGATGTATGAGATTAAACACTATCTGAAGCCGTCTCTGTGTCTGCAGACGCTTCCAGGAGGCGGCCGACATGTTCTCTGCTGCCATCCGCTACAACCCGGCGGTCGGCCGCTACTACGAGAGCAGGTCTAAGGCCTTCAGGAAGCTGATGAGCTGGACGTCAGCCAGGCAGGACTTCATCTGCATGCTGGTCCTGGACCCCGACAGCCAGGAGGTCTGAGCTTCGCCCTCGGCTGATGTTAGACGCTGAAGAGTTGATTCAGTGAGACGCACATTTGTGTTTAGTTCAGCTTCTCGTTCGTCATCAACCCTCTGAACCCTGAGACCCACGGACACGTTTAAAATACAGGGTTTCACAACAACAACAACAACAACAACAACAACAACAACAACAACAACAGCAACAGCAACAGCAACAACAACATAATAATGGCAATAATAACAACAACAATCATAACAAAACAACAACAACAACAACAACAAAATAATAATGGCAACAACAGCAACAGCAACAATAACAACAATAATCATAACAATTAAAACAATAACAACAAACACAACAACAATAATAATAACAACAATAACAGCAACATAATAACAACAAAAACAATAATAAACAGTAATTATAACAATTAAAACAATAACAGCAACAACAAAAATTACAACAATAAAAACAAGAACAACAACAACAATAATAACAACAAGAGCAACATAATAACAATAAAAACAACAATAACAATAAATACAACAAGAACATTAACAGCAAATTAATAACAATAATAACAACAATAACGATAAAAACAACAGCAGAAACAACAATAATAATAAAAACCAAAACAACAACAGCAGAAACAATAACAACAACAATAATAACAAATAACAAACCAACAACAGCAAAATAAAAACAACAAGAACAAAAATGACAACAACACTAGCAAAAACAACAACAATAACATTAACATAATAACAACAATAATAACAACAAGACCAACATAATAACAACAAAAACAACAATAACAATAAAAACAACAACAGCAGAAACAATAACAACAACAATAATAACAAATAACAAACCAACAACAGCAAAATAAAAACAACAAGAACAAAAATGACAACAACACTAGCAAAAACAACAACAATAACATTAACATAATAACAACAATAATAACAATAAAACAACAATAACAGCAACATAATAACAACAACAACAAAAACAATAACAGCAACAACGAGGAACCAAATGTTTGCACATCCAGGATTAAAATATTCAAGCTCAAGACTAAGAGTCGGACTGCAGGTGAAAAAAAGGCACAAATAAATAAACATTTCTTATTTAATTCTCTTTCAACCCGTGAAACCTTAAAAACCTGCCAGCAGCTTCCAGACATGTTTCACTTTGTTTGTAGAGTTTCTAGAGGCTGGAAGCAGTTAAACATCTGCAGCATTTATTGTTTTTCCAGTTTCAGTGACACTTTTTTGTTTTTCTGTCTTTAATGGTTCTAGCTGACAGAAGACTCTCTGACTTCTCTCCATCAGTGTTTATGTTGCAGTGAAACATGAGGCAAACAGCAAAAACAAGACTTACAGAAACTGTTCATGTGATGGACGTTTATCGCAGCAGACGGGAGGTAACTGTGTTTGTTCGTCTGTGCAGGTTCCTCCGATGCTCATGAGTCTGTTTCCAGGCTTCAGCGTCTCCGATGTTCTGTCCAGTCCCAAAGGAGAAGAAATCAGAGCTCAGCTGATGGACTCAATCCAGGAATGGAGGTCATCCTCAGACCCACAGAGGTCTTCGTCCTGCTCTTCCTCTTCCTCTTCTTCGTCCTCATCGTCTTACTTGTTGTCGACTTTTCATTTTCTTCGTCTTCCTCTTTGATTTCTTTGTCTTCATCGTCTTCCTCTTCGTTGTCTTCTTCCTCATTGTCATCTCCTTCTTCTCTTTCTTTGTTTTCTTCTTCTCCACCTTCTTAGTTTTAAACTTCTTTGACTTCTTCTTTGTCGACTTCTTCGTTGACAAATCCTTCTTCATGTTCTTCGTCCTGATATCTTCCTGTTTGTCGTCAACTTCTTCATTTTCTTCGTCTTCGTCTTTATTGTCTTTGTCGTCTGTAGCTCTTCTTCTTCTTCATCTTCTTCTCTGTCATCGTCTGCTTTGTCTTCTTCGTCGTCCTCGTCTTTGTTGTTTTCATTGTCTTCGCTGCTGTCGTTTTTCAGACTGAGTGGGAAGCTGCAGCAGATGAATGTGACCGATGAGGACGCCGAGGGCCACCCAAAGGAGCTGAAGCTGTGTTTGAACCAGGAGGACCTGCAGATAACCGTCAAGAGCCTCCTGCAGGTACCGGTTTCAAACCACGCGACCAGTTCAGTATCGTTAGTTTCAACCTTCTGTGAGTTTCTGAAAGCGAAAGTAAAAATATAACTAATATACTTCAGCGCATTCGACGAGGAGACGAGTTTATCTCAGAGGAAATCTAGAAACCTGGAGTCAGAGCTCACTGACATTCCTTTAAAAACACGTGATTTCAAACCTGAACTACGAAAGCAGAAAAACAGAATACAAGTCTTCTCCATCTTGCTCTGACACTTTGAGGTGTGAGCTCCTGAACATCTACAGAACATTGAAGAACAGCTGGGATGCAGAAATATAATTGTTTTCATTTGACAATAGAAGAAATAACTTCTTGCAGGACTTGTTGATTAACAGTCAACTTCAGGTCAAACCACAGTGAAAGAGGAGCAGGACCAACAATTAGCAATTAGCCATGTAGTTGTGGAACAGGAGCTAGCCAAAAGTCATAAATCACCACAGTAGTCTTTGTCATGGTGCCCCTTTACCAGCTAAACCCCCACAATGCTCTCTGCTGCCAACATGAACTGTAGTCTGAGTGACGCCTCCTCTGGTCTCTACAGAATTAAACAGTGAGAGGCGCCACCTGGTGGAACAATCAGGTACTACAGCTGATCTATGATGCATTTACGGACATGTATGTAGCGCATACGGGATTTTTTTTGTTTTTTTGGAGCTTGTGTTGCAGTTTTTTTTGAAGGCGTTACAAAACAGTTCAGTTGTCGGTTATTGGATTGATTCTGAGGAACTTTTATGCTTCTGAAATGTGTGTTATCCTGGAAAATGGTATCAGATCAGGACTCGGTATCAGCAGATATTAAATATTGACTGATGGGAAGCAAAAAGCCTCGACTGGGACGTCAGCACACACAGAGGAGGCTCGACATCTTCACCTGCTGCTGTTTCTCTGCTGCCGTGTTGCAGGTCGAGGGAACGCTTCAGTCTTTAGTCCGTGACCGTCCAGCGTTGCACCAAAGTGGACCGGACCGCGCCATAAACCACCTCCCACCGTCCACCAGTCGGGCCTCAAACACCAGAGGAGGAAACAGCTGCTTGGAACCCACACGGCAGAAGTAAACAGCACCAGCACCCATAAAGGCTTTATGAGCATGTGAGCCTCGGCTTCCACGTGTTTGTTCTGATCCGGATCACACAGAATCACAGCTTCCAAAAAAACAAAAAAGAAAAGTAAAACAGATGTGGCAGCAAAGGTGCCAGAAGCACATTCATTTTACTTGATATTTAAAAAATATATATAATTAAACAAACCAGGAGGAATCTGTGAGACAACAGCCTTTACAAGTGTTCATTCCTTATTATACACATTTGTTTTCTTTTAAATAAAATAGTGATTTTTTTCTTATTTAAATAATAAAAATAGTTAAATTTTACATTAAAATGCTGCGAAAAAAATATTGCTGTTTATAAAAAATAAAATAAAATAAAATAGATTTGGACATTATTTACAGTGTTTAATGGATGACATGTACAATAATACCTCATTCTGTGATTCTACAAGATATGTTTTATAATTATTACAAATCAGGAAAACCCTGTGAAATAACATAATATAAAAAATAATAATAATAAAAAAATATTAAACATGATTTTTCCTAAAATTACAGCAAATATCTGTGACGTACTGATATTTTTTGCAGATTTAAATAAAAAAATTGTGTAATTTTTTAATCAAAGGATGAATTACTATTTGTAGAAGTATAAACTTTACGATCTTTTCTTTTTTTTTGTAAATGAATACCTTCTGGTGATTTTTCTAGTTGTCTTTAACGTCTCAGGAGAATCTGTAAAATACCAGTAAAGTGTGAAGAACAAAACAGTTTTACAGACGATCAGAGAACAAACTGTCTCCTGTCACAGCTGATGATCATCTGATCTAATGTCCCAGAAATAAACAAGATGATTATTATTCACAGGAAATCATTAAAACAACCATTTAAATCAACTGTTAGACTGAAAGTGTCTCTAACTGAACCTCGTTCAGGACAAGACGTGTTTATGTGAGGAAGCTTCACAAATGAACAGTTAGGATTTCAAACATCATTTAGTTAGGATGTTGTTACCTGCTGTTGTCCACCAGGTGGCAGCAGAGTCACAGTTTGATCAAACCTGAGATTTAGACGTCTGAGGTCTTTATGAATCATCTGGTTTGTCTGATCTGGACTCTGAGGTGTCTAAAAAGAAATGAAGGACGATGCTTCGAGGAAACTGTTCAACTAAAAAACCTGAAAGTTCATTTCAGCTCGTCAGCGTTGAGACGTGACTTCTGCTACATGCTGCTCTCAGTGTTTGTCTTTACCGACTAATACAAACCGTAGATTCTGGTCGATTAATCGTAGCAACTGGACCTGCTTGAGTTCCTTGAAGATGTTTCACCCAAGAGGCTTCATCAGGTCTGACGGACGAGGTGGGAGATCCAGATGTCCTGAAGGATCCATTAGCACCGTAGAGATTCATAAACATTAACAACATGAACTCAGTCTGTCAGCCAGAATATCAGCACCTATGCTTCCTGTTTCTGTTGACTGACCAGGATCAGCAGAGATTCCCAATAAATGAAGGATTCTGAGTAACTGAACCAGCTGGAGTCGGCGGTTACGCTTCTCCTGCCTTCACCCTGAGTCAGCTGGGATGGACTCCAGCCCCCCAAGACCCTGGTGAGGATTAAGGTGTAGAGATGATGGATGGAGATACAGGCGTCACAAACAGGCTGCACTACGATGGACGCCTCAAAACGCACAAACACAGTTCAAAAATACTCTCTTTGTTCGCGCCTGCTTTAACATTTATCATCAGCGTCGTTCACCTGTCAGGGGTTTAACGTTGATCTAAAAGTCTGATTTATGTCCCAGAAAGCAGGAGACAAACGTCCTAGGATCTCGTTGTTACTGCAGTGAGCTGCTCAGTGATAAACGCTGATGAGCAGATTGTGTCATATCACAGCTTTTACACTAAATGACCTCATTCAGTGTCTGACTTGTTGTGGAACGTGTAAACATGGAGACGGACTGGAAAGATCCGGAATAAATAAAACATCTGGAAAACTACAGCAAAAATATATCAGTGAAATTATTGTATTTTTTTAAGCTAATTTTTGCATAAACTAAAAAAATAAAAAAAAAATAAAATCTAGGTGTAAAATACAGATTTTTTTGATGTGGATATTTATTTATTTTTATTTTATTTTTTATTTTTTACAGTTTTGGGCTGTTTTATGAGCATTCTCATGTAAATTATTTTACTAGATATTTCCTCTAATTTAATTAAACAGTAAAATAACAGTTAAAACTGGTTCATCATTTATGAGTCGTACATCTTTGTCGTTCCAAATAATGAAAAATAATATATTTTCTAATTTAAATCCAGTAAAAATTGTCCAGTTTGAGGCTCAAATGTGTAAAAATGCAGATTTTTAATGTAAAGATTTTACAGTTCTCAACTTCTTTCTGTGATTTTATGAGATATTATATTTATTATCATCCAAAAACCAGGCGAATCAGTAAAACAACTGTTAGATAAATGATCTGCTATTTATTAGTCCATTATATATTTGTTTAAATGATGTCATACGTCTGTAAAATAAGATTTTTTGCTGATTTAAAAAGAGTAAAATAATATTTTTGTGGTTAAACTTTGTAGATAAACAGATTAAAAGTAGTAAAAATACAGAATTCTGTTTTGTTTTTTGTTTGTTTTACAGTCAACATATAAATCAACGTATTTTTCTGTGATTTTACTCGACATCCAGAATTTAACAAAACTGGGAAAATCTGTAAAATCACAGCAAATCGTTTAAATGGTTGAAAACAGTTTCTACGGTTCAGATTCAAACAAAGAATTACAGGATTTCTCTCATTTTTAATCTGAATTAAAGAAAAACAAAAGCATAATAGAACTAAACTAAACCCGGTTTATTCAGAACCTCGTTTTGCTTCATGCTGATGTTTTCTGTGACCAACAGGCTGAAAAATGACAGAAGAAGGTGAGACTCTGTGTTGACATGTTTGTTTTTTGTCTACATTTTTCCAAACAAACAACTTTATCTCACTGCTGGAAAGTGTGACTTTTAAAGACAATCTAATGTTCTAAATGGTCCTGATCGGTTCTACCGTGTTCTAGACCAGCGGGTCTCAAACTGTTTGAGCCACGACCTCCAACGTATCATCAGTCTGTGACCCCCGATATGAATTCCTAACATCTCATCAGTAAAAACGTCGCTGGTCATGCGTTAATGCGTTAAAACTAATGTGTTAATCCCACAGATTAATCTCTTTACATTAACACCTTCATTTTCTTTTGATTGAATGAATTTATTTCAAACAAATGAAAGGGAAAAAAAAGAAAATAATTTTAAAAGAGCAAAAAAGAACAATAATATAATTAAACCATGTTATCAAGTCCGAAAAAGGAGTGGGAAGAAGTAAACACTCTTACTTTTGACAGCCCTCATACACATGTATCTGATGAATGTTGGCTTTCTTTATTTATGTATTTAAAATGATCTGGCAACCCCCTGAAATTACCTTGGGACCCCCATGGAGGTCCCAACCCCCGGTTTGAGGGCGAATGCTCAAAAGCATGCTAATTGCAATCCTGTCAAAAAAGAAATGAAAAAAAACGAAAGTAAAATTAAAGCCGTAAGCAGTGATGGACGGGTCCTCGCCCGACGCTTGTCGGCCTTCCAGCATGTCAGGGTTTGGTGGAGACGTGCTCCGGGTTGGACTCTGATCTGGCGTGTTGCCAGATTGGAGCACATGCGACATAGTTACGAGTCACTTCCTGTTTAGTGGTGAGTTGCGGCGGCTTGCGTGTTGTCCGTGGTGGAAACGTGCTCTGGCTTAGATTTGGCGCTCGTACAGGCCAGTTACACAGCACGTCTCGTATTCTGGTGTTTTATGGCGTTGTGGCCAAATTCCGGGGGGGCGCCATTTCCACGCCGTCAGACTTTTGCAGACTTTTGCAGACTTTTACTAACATTGAATCACCACCTCCTGTAGTTTGTGCTCGCCAAATGTCAGGTGTGTACGACCTTCCCTGTAGGAGGAGAGATATTGTGAAGATGGTCAAAAATTAGGAAAAATGAGCAGAAATGGCCCGGCATACTCGCTGTTTTTCCAACATGGCGGATTTCCTGTTGGGTTTACGGAAACGCGCTGATGGACTTTTTTGTGCGTCAGGAGTGTTTACGTATGTGTGGTGAATGTTGTTGTTCTATGTGAAACATAGGGACTCTGTTGAAATATTGTAGGGGGCGCCGTTGAGCCGTGTTGCATTTTAGAGCTTGGCGTTTTTGTTATTCGTTCTGACCTGCTCTATATTCTGTACCTACCAAATGTCGTAGCTCGAGGCCAAACGTGCTTCCGACGGGACTCTGTTGAAATTTTCAAGGGGGCGCTGTGGAGCCATTTGGGCGTTGACACGTCCAACTCCCTTAAAATATGAAATTTTTTTAACCAGTCCTGGTGTGAGTGGTGGTTTTGGTGAGTCTTCCTGCATGTTTAGGCCGTCTAGTTAGCGGTTTTAAAGTCAGCCAAAGAATAATAATAAGAAGAATCCCAGCAGTTCCAAAAGAGTCCGACTGTTACTGTTACTGTGGAGCTCGGACCCTAATAAAGGCGCAAAAAGAAAAAGAACTACAACAAAACAACGGAGAACTGTAGCGTTCAAAAGCTCCACTTGATGTTTTTAGCAGATTTCAATCCGGTCACACAGATGTTTGAGGTTCTTTTGACTAGTCTGGACCGTCAGAGGATCACTTTTAACAGACTTCTGGTACTTTTAGCATCATCCTCATTGACTTCTACTCATTCTTCAGAGCTTCAGAGCCTCAGACGGACCTGAAGCTTCTCACTCAGGCTCTGTGCTGAGCTGCTGTCGCTCGGCTTCGCTCTGAGGTTTTTCTCGGAGAGCAGCTGACCTCGCAGCATTAACAACAGCTGTGGCAACAGCTGACGCTCGGAGAGGAGAAGCCGCGGCGAAGCGGAGAAAGTGGCCACGAACATACCGAACATACCGGACCGCAGTCTGTCGCAGTCGCTTAGAAAAGCCAGAGCCTCCCTCTCAGGTCACCATTTACGTTAGCTCGGATTTCTTTATTATTCTGCGGAGCCTGGGAGCAGACGACCGGCGGTGTCAGTCAGCGATTATCGTAGTTATGGTAGTGTTTAACCTGCGAGCTTCTGCGTTTCTGCTCTCGTCGTGAAAAATGTGAGAACCGAGGAGCTTGTTTAAAGGTCAGAGGCTGAAAGTCGGGTCAAGACGAGGTCGTGTAAAGCCTGAAACATGCAGTCTGACGGAGCTGAGGGCCGCGAGAAGCCTTTATAAGAGCAGGAAATGTACAAAAATAACATTTTTAACAGCTTTTAATGACAGTTTAAAACAAAACAACAACATTTTATTTATTTGTTTATTTGTTTTACTGATTTTTTTTTCTGTTTTGTGTTACAATTACAAGTAGATTGTTTAGTTAGCGGTAACAAAACAGCTTCAACTGTAAATAACATCACATCAAAAACAAGTATATTTATTAGAGATGCACAATTTATTGGTGACCACATCGGTGTTTTTTCCGATATATCGGTATCGGTCTGATGAACAGATTTAGCCGATGACTGTCTGACATCAGCGCCTTCGTCTCTACAGTTGATATCGCTGCTGTTTCCCAGATGTTTTCACTTAAATGGTCCTTTAACGTTAAATATGTTTAAATATGTTTTACTTTTGTCATAAAGAAGACTGTGTGTTCTAATGTCTTCTGAAGTTTTCTCACAGTGCTTCAATTCATTTTTCGGTGTGAACAAAAATTGAACATCGACATCGGTGATATCAGAAACCTAAATATCGGATATCGGTATCGGCCAGAAATTTTAATATCGTGCATCACTAATATGAATGAACGGTCACTTGTTCTTTGACAGCATGTAGCTGTGAGATGACACTTGTTGTTGTTTTCATTTAAACTACATTAAATCAGCAAAAATGTCGTTATTTCACAGAAATTTCAGCGTCGTTTAAAAGAAAACGTTCAGTAAATAATCAACCGTTCTTCCACCGACGATGAAATTAAACTAAACCAGTAAAAGTGTCGTTGCTCCACAGATGTTATTTTCACTGCTGTTTGTTTGTTTGTTTGTTTGTTTGTTTGTTTTACAGTCCTTTGATTGAACAATTTTCCACCATTTTTTAGTGTTTTTTTGACACTCTTGCTGCCAGACTTTCACGTTAACAGGATTTTTGTTAGGAGGCCACAGGACCATGTCGACGGGTCAGAGGCTGCATTTTGTTAAACCTTCACCATTTCAGGAGGTGTTTTTATAACATGTTAGCTGTAAAACCAACAGGACGCATAAATAATGTCTAAATCTAAACTCTGCGTCGTCGCGTTTTTGCTCAAAATGTGATCTTTTAAATGTTCTCTTCTCCAGGTTTTGATCATCATGAACGTACTTTTAGTTGCAGCTTTTTTCCACCTCCTCTCCACACGCTGCTGCTGCTGCTCGGTGGATGTGTGTGGGCCTCCGCCGCTCAGACGGCCGCTCATAAAGGAGCTGAGAAGTGTTTCGCACTTGTGCAATAAAAGGCTCCGGTTACCGTGGTGTCAGGAGGAGCCCGGTCCAGACAAAAACACCTTTCTCTGGGCAGCGGGGCCGGCGGCTTGGCCCGGCCTCAGCACATTCCCCCGCTGGAGGGGAGCTCCGCGCCGTGTTTTGTCTGAGAGCTGCAGGACGCGTTTGTGGTCTTTGGGTAGAGTTCGGTCAGGTGACGTGAGCAGACGCACGGCTCCGTGAAGCTCCCGAAGCGAAAGTGGAATCGGATCCGCGGGTTTGGAATTGGATTAGCGCCGCAGACGGCAGCCTTGAAGCTTGTGCCAGTCAGGGGTTTGGTCAAAGAGCAGCCGAACCCGAACTTATTCAGAACCTGGTTTTGCTTTGTGCTGAGTTTTTAACAGGCTGGAAAATAACCAGCAGATGGTGGGACGCTGTGTTGGAGATGTTCTACATGTTTCCTGTAAATGCCACGTCCTCAAGTTTGTCACACTGCTTGAAAGTGAGAGTTTTGAAGAAAATATAATGATGTTGATCGTTTCTACCGTGTTCCAAAGCATCCATCCATCATCTCTACACCTTAATCCTCACGAGGGTCATGGGGGGCTGGAGTCTATCCCAGCTGACTCAGGGTGAAGGCAGGTTCACCTGGACAGGTAACCAGTCTATCACAGGGCTACACTTAGAGACAGACAACCAAGCACACTCACATTCACACCTACGGACAATTTAGAATCACCAATTAACCTCAACATGTTTCTGGACTGTGGGAGGAAGCCGGAGAACCTGGAGAGAACCCACGCTGCACGGGGAGAACATGGAGACTCCACGCAGAAAGATCCCAGGTGTCTACAGTGGGACGCGAACCGGCGACCTTCTTGCTGTGAGGCGACGGTGCTAACCACTGAGCCACCTTGCAGCCCTGGTCTAAAGCATGCTGACTGAAATTCTGTAAAAAAAAAACAACTAAACTAAATATCTGACAGTTAAAGTGGCAAAAAAAAGAGGCCTGTTCAAAAGGGCTGCATGGTGGATCAGTGGTTAGCATCGTCGCCTCGTAGCTAGAAGGTCACCAGTTTGCATCCGGAGATCTTTCTGCGTGGAGTCTCCATGTTCTCCCCGTGCAGCGTGGGTTCTCTCCGGGTTCTCCGGCTTCCTCCCACAGTCCAGAAACATGTTGAGGTTAATTGGTGATTGTAAATTGTCCGTAGGTGTGAATGTGAGTGTGCTTGGTTGTCTGTCTCTAAGTGTAGCCCTGTGATAGACTGGTTACCTGTCCAGGTGAACCTGCCTTCACCCTGAGTCAGCTGGGATAGACTCCAGCCCCTCATAGTGAGGATTAAGGTGTAGAGATGATGGATGGATGTAACATTCAAAAAACTAAACAAAAATGACAAAATCCAATTTAAACACATTGTAAAAGAACAGATGTGTTGTTGTGATGTGGACGTTATTTACAATTTGGGCCATTTAAAGACTGATTTACCATTTTTAACACATATTATCAGTAAAGTAATGATTTTTTAAACTGATTTACATGCAGTTAAACTATAATTTTACCGTCACACCATGTAAAAGAATAAATCACTATTTTATTTTACAGCTTTAGCATCTTGAACACAACGTCTCGCTGTCTTATGTTACTGGTTTATGTCGTTTACAGCCAGAAAATACTCAAATAATTGATCAAAATGTGGCGTAAATGTGAATCATTTGGGCCTTGAGCGTCCTGTTGAGACTCCATCGGTCGACAACAGGATCACAACATTTCATTTTAATGTCAAAATATTACAAAACTATCAAAAAACAAACACACACGGTGCTGAATATACAACCTGCAATAAATAACAGTAATACTTTACAGAGTGAGGAGTCAGAGTGGACCAGAGTTTAACCCTCTGACGCCCAAACAGAAAGAAAAATCGACTAAATGACGCCGTTTAGCAGAAAGATTAAAACCAGAGACATGTTGGATTTAAAGCTTCTTCTTCTTCATGTTTGACGTTTGCTGTTAAATTAGAACCAAATCTAACCTTGAAACGGTGAATTCTTCATGGTTCATTTAAAACTTTGCCAAAAGGTTTGCAGCAGATCCAGAAAAACATCGGAGGGTTTTTCATGCTGAGCTGCAGGCAGTGTTTCCTCCGACAGACTGAGAGGAAAATCCAACCTCCTGGATCAACAAATAAATGCAGCATGGCTCAGAAAATAATTATTATTCATTTTCTGATTGAAATTTTGTCCAAATTGACATAAACTTGTGTAAAATCAGTGTAAAAAAAAGTCAAAAGTTACTGAAAAGCTGCCTGAAATCATATAAAATGACTCAAAAATGATCTAAAATGATGTAAAGTCGTCCGGAAATGTAGAAAAAATCTTTTTAAAGGCCTCAAAACTTGTCCAAAATGATCCTGAGAGTAAAATCCAACGTACTGGATCAATAAATAAATGCAGCACAGATCAGAACCAGAGAACAGAGGAACCAGTTGGTGGAGATCCATCCAGCTGATGGTGGAACATCTTCCACAACTGGACCAAACATCGTCCAAAATGACTCAAATAGTCCACTTGTCTCATATTAAACACATTTTGAATCCCTTTTAGTTAGTTTAAGGTAATTTTTAGACATTTTTGAGTCATTTCAGACATTGTTTTGGTACTTTGGGCAGATTTTTCGTCAATTTTGACTTTAAATAAGTTATTTTAGACACGTTTCACTTCATTTTGAACAGTTTTAGTCTGAGAGGAGAGTCTAACATGTTGGATCAATAAATAAATGCAGCAAGTTGTTGGAGATCCATCCAGCTGATGGTGGAACATCTTTCAAAACTGGACCAAAAATGGTCCAAAATTACTCAAATTGTAAGTAGAGTCCCAAAAAAATCTCATATTAATCACATTTTGATCATTTTTAGTTAGTTTAAAGTAATTTTTAGACATTTTTGAGTCATTTCAGACATTATTCTGGTACTTTGGACAGATTTTTAGTCAGTTTGGACTTTAAATAAGTTATTTTAGACACGTTTCAAATCATTTTGAGCAGTTTTAGACTAAGAGGAAAATCCAACCCACTGGACCAATAAATAAATGCAGCACGGCTCAGAACCAGAGAACAGAGGAGCCAGGTGCTGGAGACACATCCAGCTGATGGTGGAGCGTCTCTTCGTTCTGGTTCCGTGGAGGTGCAGGACTTTAACATTGCAGTGAAAAACGAGCCCACAGTGAGTAAAAAAGCAGAAAGAAAGTCACTCAGAAACGGTTTCTCGGGGTTCAGAGGGTTAAAGACGATCCCACCTGTTGGTCCAGAACCGCATCGGGATGCTTCTGGGCCTCGTCACAGCGCTACAAGGTGCTTTACAGTCTTATAGTTCTGAGTTTCTTTTCTTTTTTTTTTTTTTCCAGAGAGAGACGGGAAACAGGACGAGGAGGGAGGACGGACAGACGGACCGAGCTTCTCCCCAGAGGAACATTTCTAAAGACAATTTATACATTCTGGAGAGATCAACCATCTGCCTGTTTGCTCAGGCCGTAAATCTCCCGGCCGGTTCTGCTGGCTCGCCTCGGCCTCCTCTTCTGACGTCACACAGCTGGAGTCTTGTTTTTTTTCCTTCCCTACGTTTTATAACCGCATCAGTTTCTTTATCTGCTGGACTCCCAAAGACCTCCAACGTCGGACCGGCCAGAAGCAGGACGGTCCACGTGTTGGTCAGCTGGTTTCTCCTCGGCTTCACTTCCAGCCGTTCAGCTCCTTCAGCTTGCTGACGCTGGGCCCTTTGATGGGCGTGGACGGCGGCTGGCTGTACAGCGGCAGCGTCGGGGTGCTGCAGCTCCGGCTCCACGGCTTCTCGGTGGGGACGGTCCACACCGACCGCTTCTTCTTCTTCTTCTTCTCCGTCGTCGGCTGGTCGCTCTTGTCTTTGGACGAACCGGGAGAGACGCTCTGCAGAGGGAGTCATCAGGGAGCAGAGTTAGAACCTCTCTAAGGACAGCGCTAACGTCTCACCGTCTGGGTCATGTGACCGACTAGACGCTCACAAAACATCTGTCATTTTACAGAATTTCCCCTTTTATTTTAGTTTTAGTACAGTCATGACTTGATAATCGACCCTTAACAATCCAGAACCTGCTGTCC